CAAGGGCCAACTGAGGTGTGGATTTATTAAAGAATATTTTTCAAGGGCCAACTGAGGCGTGGATTTATTAAAGAATATTTTTCAGGGCGAATAGACCCTACACAACTATGTATTATAGCTTTGTGCAGCCCCAAGAGTTTTTAACGCCGCGACATATTGGTCCTAGACCCACCTTTAAGTATACCGATCGTCATATCGCAACTAGCTGAGTCGACTTAGACATGTGTGTCGGTTCGTCCGTCCGTCCGTCCATTATAATTTGTAAACACGATACAGGCCACAGTTATGGACCAATCTTCACGAAATTTTGCATATAGGATGGGTTCTGGCCAATAAAGACCCCTATTGTTTTTGGACCAAATACTTAATTTTTGTGGGTTTTTCTGGTCGCTCTAGAGGCCGCAATTATATTCAAAACATCACGAAATTTTAAATGGATAAGGGGATCAGGCCAAGGAATAAGTATGACTGTTTTCATAAAGTTCAGTCAATATTTAGCGGGTTAAATGGACCCTGACTTTTGTGCGAAAAATGACAAAATTTGTAATTCTATAGCGTATATATTTACCCCTGAAGGACATAGACCCGAGAAGTGGATCCAAGAGGAGTCGTCGGCCTTTAAATTGATACCAATTATATTGTCGTATGTACTCGGATGTGGGTGTTACCCGTAAATATGTAGAGGTGCTTACGTATTTAGATATTTTTTAGCAATCCATTACCACACTATAGGGTGGAAATATAACGCTGATCGATTTGAAATTTTTCATGGGGTTCCAGTTATGGTTAAGGACAGCGCTTATAATTTAAAAGAATATTATTTCAAGGACTACCAAGGGCGTGGATTTTTAAAATAATATTTTTTATTACATCTTGAATTTTTAGCGAATACTTATTGAAGAAATACCAAGCTTTGAACTACCCTCCAGTAATAATTTGGATATAATAGTCTTCTTGTGAGATTGAAGCCCCACCCCAAATTAGTATCTTCCTCCAGGTAATGAAATTAACACCATAACGAACTCGAAATTGTGCTGGAGGGCTAGAGGTCAATTTACCGTGCAATTCTATTAACGACAGACTATAAACAACTCCCAAGTCAATTGAAAAGAAAAAATATTTTTAAAACCAAAAACACAGTATTCAACACTATGTTGGCTTAACATTATAACCTTGTACGTGTTATATTTGACTGTTTCCAATTCCCAGACATGATAAATTTTTTAGCCAGACAAGGGGTTACTCTAAATATACAATATTACATATTTCGTCATATACAAACACACACACACACTGCCACTTAGATAGTCAAGCATGAAATGTTAACGAATATTTTTGCATTGCAGGAAAAGTCATGTTGGGGAAAAAGTGTATCGGAAAATGAAGTTTGCTGGTGTTAGTTGGTAATGGTGGGGACGATGATGGTTGAATATATAATGAACCCAGACATAACCTTTATTTTTGAGAAGAAGAAGAAGAAACAGCAATAACCGTCATCAAAAGACCCACGCACCCACACACACACAAACTCAATTCAGAGAATTTCAGTTTTTGTTTTTACTTTTTGCTGTAGTTGTGGAAATGGCCCCTGGCAGTTCATTAGAGTTTTATCTTGAATTTTTGGCTGCTTTAAATGATTTACATTTTGGGTACGTTACATACCCAAAACGTAACACAAAAGCGTATATACTCCCTCACTAAGTACCTTTGTGTATGTGGCAGTGTGTATTTTTCAAGCAAAGGATTCAGTAGCTTCATAAAGGTACTTTTGTTGTTTTACCCTGTGTGAATATTTTATTTCCACTTACTTTTTGGCCCTTTTCATCAGTTTGGTTAGTCCTTTTATGAAATTTCAAACATTATGGGGTTAATGAAAACCCAACATTACAGGGGACTGAGTTTGATGTTGCTAATATCGGCAACAAGGCAAAAATATTCTATAGACTGTTGCTACAAAAAAAAAAAAAAAAAACATGAAGCTACAATTTCGTTAACCCATTTCAATTTCTCATGCAAATAACTTAAGTTGAACATCCGGAGAAAGCACCAGAATAACAAAAAAAGTATGACTTATGCAGATTTTCCCCAATTTTATTGCAACCAATCAACCAATTGAACAAATACAAAAAAGTCAATTGATTTCCAGTAATTGGAAATGAGGAAGTACATGTGTACATAGTTTATATTGCATTGGGTTAACCTCAATATTATGATTCTTGTATTATGGGGTACACTTGCATTGAGTTCAGTTATAGGGTTGTGGAATGTGAATTTAAGTAAGTTTGAGGTATTATTTGAGAATCCGTATTTTAGCCCAAGTGTCACAAAAATATTGGCATTGCATTGTTGTAATTAATCCCATGATTGATGGGGATACTTGTCTTGAACTGCAAAATCATGTTAGACACGAAATGTTTAGAGTACAGACCTGGAGTGACTGTGTTGGATTGCAGGTAGTTAAACGGTGGGCATCAGCAACGTACACAGGATGGAAAGTTGGCGCACATCTGTCTTCCTTTTATTCGAGCTGATGAGCACGGCGTCCGGTATGCGAGTAGCGTAAGGTATTTGGAGAAAAAATAAAGTCCGAGAGATTGAAGATACTTCTTTACTTTAATCGGTTGATAAAGAGACTGACAGCAATCCTTGGTAACGTCAAACGGAATTTGTGGACTGACTGATACTTGAGCATAAATTCGGTATGTACCATATATGAGGGGATGTTTGTTACCTGTGCATCATATAATATAGTAAACCAGTAAGGAAAGTGTAAAAGTCGGACGGGGCCGACTATATGATACCCTTCACCACTATGGGTATATTAAACAGGACAATTAGCATGAAATTGGATGAAATAAAGTATGTGATATTTATCTATATGTGAATCTACCTAGATCGTGTAAATCGACTTCAAACAAATATAAATAGGTCATCCGTTGTCTGTACTTCTAGAAAACGCAACTATATAATTTTATGCTCAATTTTGTACGATGTGCAAACTTTTATGTCAATCTGACTAACATGAGGAGTTTGATGCCCAATTTACTTGAAATCGGGCGAAAATATACATATATGGTGCGTCAATTACTTAAAATCAATTTATAATAAAAAGGGCTATATCTATCTAAATCTGGACCGATTTTCACGAAACTTGGCAGACATCATTCTAGACCTAAATGATTAGGCTGTATCAAATTTCGTGCAAATCAAAAGATATATATGGACTTTGGGGCACCATTTACATGAAATCGGACGAAACTATATATGGGAGATATATCTAAATCAGGACCGATTTTCATGAAACTGGGCAGACATCATTCTAGGCTCAATTAAGTACGTTATACCAAATTTCGTGCAAATCGAAGGGTATATAGGGACTTTGGTGCACCATTTACATGAAATCCGACGAAACTATATATGGGAGCTATATCTAAATCTGGACCGATTTTCTCGAAAGTTGGCAGACATCATTCTAGGCTCAATTCAGTACGTTATGCCAAATTTCGTGCAAATCGAATGATACATAGGGACTTTGGTGCACCATTTACATGAAATCGGACGAAACTATATATGGGAGCTATATCTAAATCTGGACCGATTTTCTCGAAAGTTGGTAGACATCATTCTAGGCTCAATTCAGTACGTTGTGCCAAATTTCGTGCAAATCGTAAGATATATAGGGACTTTGGGGCACCATTTACATAAAATCAGACGAAACTATATATGGGAGCTATATATAAATCTGGACCGATTTTTTCGAAACTTAGCACACATCATTCTAGGCTTAATTCAGTACGCTGTGCCGAATTTCGTGCAAATCGAAAGATATATACGGACCGTTTACATTAAATCGGTTAAATATATATATGGGAGCTATATCTAAATCTGAACCGATTTTTCCCAATTTCAACAGGGTTCGTCCTTCGGCCGAATAAGTGACCTATGCCAAATTTCATCCAATTCGGATCATAAATGCGACCTGTACTTTGTTTACAATTTAACATGGACAGACAGACGGACGGACGGACATGCATAAATCGACTTAGAAAGTGATTCTATGTATATTCTCAAAAGGAACCATGTGTCTATCTCGATTATTTTTGCATGTTACAAACATATGCACAAAGACATAATACCCTGTACCACAGTGTGCTGAAGGGTATAAAAACCAGTAAAAACCAGGGTTAGAAGAAATTTATTTCGTGGCGATACCGGAGCAACTGTGACAAAGGGACAGTAACATACTAATTTATTCGGGACGAAACGTTCGTACTATCACTTCAATTGAAGGACTTGTTTTCTGTTAACACGGCATTGTTCTCGGAATCAATTTTCGTATAAAGGATTCCTGTCCCAGAAGAATTTATTGTTTCTAAAATGATATTGGAGATTTAGTAAGTACATAAATAAGGCATGCAGGGTCTGCGTGTGAAGTTCAGTAGAGTGCTTGAAGACAGTCGGATCCCTTATTTTTTGAGTTGATTTGCCTGTTTAGTCTTTGGGATAAATACTGTACTTAGTGGAGGTGGTCTCCGTACATAATCAACATGCAGAAAGGAATCTGTTTTTTATCTAGACCAACAGTTGTTTTAGCAGCATCGTGGATATTGTGGTTGTGTGGTATGCCTTCTGCATACTCTCCGAATGACACAACCTACGGTGTTCGACCAGTATGTGATAGACCAATCAAAGTTGGTGCTTTCGTTGAACTTGCACAAATACCTTATTTTTCAATCTGTAGATAACTTCTTGATATTGATTGTCTACGTATTCGCCGTGTGATGCTGCGGTGCTATTAGACTAAGGGGTTTTCGACCCCAAAAAACGGATTGTGGGTACCCTTATATGGGAGCTGCGTCTGGCAACTGTTCCGCTGTAAAATTTTGGATAATACATAACAATGTGCTAGCCTGAAGTCTTCGGAAAATTCGACATAGAAACAAAGGCGTTCGTTGCTCTCCATGCCATGAAATGCCAACGTCTTTCTGACTGGCCAAAAAGTGGAATTAATGGGTCATCCGCCATGGCAGCCAATGAAAAATAAATACTTGGTCGACTATTTTCGTCTACACAAGATTATTCTCAGAATGGCGGATGAATACGTTGATTGAGGCATGGCAAAGGTTTAAATTCGCTATCATGTTGCAAATATCTAATTTCAATTTCCGCAGTTCAGTGCATTTCTGACAAATTGCTTCGCGCATTCGAGGCATAACTTATAATTATTATCACTTATTGGGCGTCCGATCTTGCAGCAAGAATTCATGATGCACCTCGCCTTTCCATTCGATGAAAACTGTGAGCCAAATATTCACAATTTATTCAAATTCAATTGCTTTGCGGGCTCTACTAGACGTTTCCATTGGGTTGATTCGATTTGAAGTTATCATAGCCATACGTGCATACCTGTTTTAAAGTTGACGATGTTTCAGGGTATTATGTGCTTTGGACGTAATTTTTGCCCAAAATGTAAACATTTTTTGTTCAAAATGGAAGAAAGATTTTATTGTTTTTGTTATTATAAGACCCCACATATTCTCGGTTTACAGAAAAAAAAATGCGTTCGAAGTTTGAGAACCACTATTGCCGAAATGGTTGGAAATTCAACATCTTTGGAATAAGAAATGTGGTTACCAAAAGTGTCGCTATGGAAAATATTGCAACACATTCATTATTATTCATTGTGTCTCTTGTAGTTAGTTTGTTATTGCACACCGATAACGAATTTTTGACTTTGTTATATATTCCTTTACTAATATTTTAAACAATTTAAGTACCAATATTTTTTATATTCCCTCCCAACTTTAACGTTTCCAAAACATTTTCCGCTTATAACTGTTAACATAATAAAAACTTCATTAAAGCAAAAAAGCAAAACATTATACCAGTTTTTCCCCACTTTAATTTTCATATCAAAAAAATATATATATCGTTATTTTATCTTCAATTATTTAACATTTTAAGTAGATTCGTAACGATATTCTCTGTATCCCCAACAGTTTTCTACGTCATTTAATGCATAACTAATTTCATGTTTTTTTTTCGTTGTTGTTGTGGTTTTCGTTCCTTTTGCTGTGTTCTGTGTTAATTCTAACGTTTGATGGTGGCCTTTGATGTGCCTGTTCTGTGCCTTTAACCGACCGCAATTTTGTTAATGGTTTCGATTGGCATCGTTGCGTTGCTGTATGCTTTGGTTGCCTGGTGGGGAGGTACAGCTTATTCCGCTTTCCGTTGAGTGTCAAATAAAGGAACGGAAATAGCATTGAGCGCACACCAAACGCAAAAAGTGAGGATTTTGTCATAAACTGCCTTTTTGATGATAAAATGTTGTCGGTGTGTGTGTGTATTCGTATGCTCTTGTCGAGTTTTGCGTGATTACAATGGATTTATTCGTGGGCTTGTTAAATTCCACCACAAAACATAAAAATAACATTTGTATAAAACAAATCGCTAGTAATTTTATGCATACAAAAATGCATGAGGGTGAAAGTTTCCGCTGAAGTTTGTTAGAGGGGTGGACAAGTGGTTCGGTACATTGTGTGTTCCAAATTGTAGGAATTTCATTTGGTAGTTATTGTGCATGCAATAAGCATGCATATATTAAAATTTCGATGTAGCTGTTAGGTATGGCAGATAATATGTTCCATCA